GCCTCCAGTTGTGCCAGGGCAGGGTGAGGTTGGGCATGGGGAACAATTCCTTCCCCTTGGGGCTGTCAGGGGCTGGAAGGGGCTGCCCAGGGAAGGGTCGAGTCCCCACCCCAGGGGGGATTTAACAGCCGGGCAGAGGCGGTGCTGAGGGCTGGCGTTTGGGGGTGGGATGGCAGGCGTAGGGGAAGGGTTGGGCTGGGGAAGCTTCGAGGGCTTCTCCAACCTCAATGATTCCATGATTCTCAGCTCTTGCTGCCCGTCGAGTCCCACACCAGCAAAGACGTCGCTTTGGCAATGCGGTTTGGGTGTGAACATTCCCGTAAAGGAGATTTTTTTTGTTGCTCCCTCCATCTTTCGTGGCATTGTCATTTACTTGCCTTTCTCTTCTTTTTAGAAAACCTGCAAGACGAGCTGGGAAGAGGTGAAAAAGGTAAAAGGAAATGTTTTAAGACATAGCTCCCGGGAACAAAGACTTTAAATTGTGGTTGTAATTTGCAAAGCTGCTTTTGCAAAGCCAAAGAGAAGGGGAAAAAAAAGAAAAAAGGCACTCTGGATTTCAGGTTTTTTTTTTAATTTCTTCTCTCTCGATGATTTCCAGATCCAGCCTGCTCAGTTCAAGAGTGAAAAGACGATTTTTGTAGCTGACGCCGGGGATCTGACAGCTAAGCTAGGTCCGTTCTGCCTGTTTACACTTAACAAAACTACAGTGCGGAACAGAAGGAACAGATATTTGAACCCCAAACCAGGTTCCTACCCTTTCAAGCCACAACCTGCTCTAATTTTGCTCTGTGGCCCATGGTCGGGCTCCTGTTCCCACCAGGGTTTGGGGTGGAGGGGGGTGAGCGCTCCCTGAATCTGTGCCACTGCAAGGTCAGACGCCTTAAACCCGGCGGCGAGTGGTCGGAATCGTGGCTGCCAGCAGGCGTGTGGATTGTGCCGTGCTGGAGAGGTCCTTGCTCACCAGCTCTCCTGGGTTGGCAAAGGAGCATGTTCTCATGAGGCCATGAACGTGCAACTGGCAAAACCAGCCCAGCTTGACTCTTTTAGTGCTGGACGAGCCTCTGCTTTGCTCTGCCAGTGGTGGTGAGGCCAGCGAGCCGGGACACTGCAGCAATGGGCTCTGTCGTGGTTCTGACCTTCTGATCCCTCTGACCTCGCACTGTGGTGGGTGTTAAAATCTGTCCCCATCCTCCAGCTCCCTCAAGGTGAAGGTTGCCAGGCCCAGAGCAACCAGACATACCACAGCAAAGCCAAGCCCTCTTTTTGAAAAGAAGGCTTATTCTTGCTTTTAAGGTGGTGGCCTTCAGCATGGGGCTTGCAAACCCCTTGTGGAAGGCAGAGGAGGACAAGCCACGGGTTGGCTCCTTTCCAAGGACCATCCAGCTCGGAGGGGCCAGACTCTGCTCACAAACATCCCCAGACAGCTCTGGAAAATGCCAAGGGGTTGGCCCAGCAGAAGAAGACGGGCTGGTTGCCACCCTTTAAAAGCAAAACGACCCTCACTGCATGTCCATGGTGATGTGCGTGCATGTGGAGCGGTGTGACGTTGTACCAGCAAACCCTCTGAAAGCCGACTGGGGCTTATCCTGCAGAGAGCTGGCGGGCTGAGAGGTGAAGAAAGGACCCGCCAAGACCTCGTAGCAGTTGTTGAATCCCACTCCTCTGCCTGAGTTCATCATTGCCAAGAGCTTTGAACGCTCTTATTTTTTTTTTATACGATGCCTGAAGCTCCTGCAGTCATATTATTTATTCCAAATCATCACTCACACCCCCTACAGCTGAGTAGAAGCTCAAACCCAAATCCTAACAACTCCAGCAGCTGGAGATGCAAAAGGGAGGAAGGAAAACACCTTTTCAAGATTGGCGTCAAGGAAATTTGCTCATCCAAACCATTTCCCCTAACTTTTGTTGACGGATACTTTGACGGCAGCTGTCTCTTGGTCCAATATAATTGTTCAAAAGGCAGGAGATGTCATTTTTTAAAGCCAATCACTCAGTTTGGGGGAGGAATCTGGTGCTTAAATTTTGAAGGAAAAAAAAGACCAACCCTGTGGGTGTGGTCACTTTTCCGACCCCTGTGGAACACCATGAAGCTTTCAATCCCATCATGGGTCTTTTTGGACTCCATATGCAATTTTCAGCCCCAAATCTATGGATTTTGAAAGAGCATAAAGAGCTTGAGCTCCATAAACTCTGGTGTGGCATCCAACGAGTTTCGGCTCCGAAGGTCCCACCTTAGATTCCCTCAAAGGGTCTCATTCGTTCATGGCAACTTTGCTGACTACAACCACAATTTGAGGTTACTAACGTGCTTGCTGGTTCCTTCGAGCCTGATTTTTGGAAGGGGAAAAGGTGTTGCTATCAAACTTCATCCACATGCGTCGTTCACATCTAAAATTACTCTTCTTAAAATTAGCCCCAAGCCTCCGGGCTTCCTGCAGAGTCAGTGGTGAGAGGAGGCATCTCAAGAACCTCAAAGCCAAGCCAACATCTGAACTTGGCTTTCCTTCACCACAGACTGTCCAGGGAGCTGAAGGGGAGCAGTTATTGAAGTTGGGATGTGGTTCTTGAGGTTGGGATGTGGTTCTTGAGGTTGGGATGTGGTTCAGTAACTGGTAAAAACATCCCCAGCCTGGGCTTTTAATTGTTAAAATTCTTCTTGAGTTACTCTCACTGTCACTGCTGTCATCAACAGAGGACCTGACCCTGGATCCCGATTCGGCAAACCACCTCCTCATCCTCTCTGCAGACCTCAAGAGCGTGAGGATGGGCTGTAGGAAGCAGGAGCTGCCTGACAACCCCAAGAGATTCGACACGAACTCGCGGGTGCTGGCTACCACGGGCTTCAAGTCGGGAAGACATTACTGGGAAGTGGAGGTGGGGGCCTCGGACGGTTGGGCCTTTGGGGTAGCCAAGGAGTCCGTCAGGAGGAAAGGTCTGACGCAGTTTTCCCCCGAAGAAGGGATCTGGGCAGTGCAGCAAAACGGAGGTCGCTATTGGGCGGTCACCTCGCCCCAACGCACCCCACTGTGCCTCAGCCAGAAACTCAATAAGGTCAGGGTGTACCTGGATTACGAAGGGGAAGAAGTCTCCTTTTACAATGCCGACAACATGCAGCACATCTTCACCTTCAACGTTGCTTTCCAGGAGAAGGTGTTCCCTCTCTTTTCGGTCTGTTCCACCGTTACCTACATCAAACTGTGCCCCTGAGCCTTCGCATGGGCTTGGCTGAGGACCTGTTGCCGTGGTCTTCACTGGATGGTGCATGGACAGCAGCGATGAGCACAAGAGACTCTCAAACCAACCATGCCGCTTGGCTCATTGGGACACAGGCAGGCAGATAGGTGGGTAACCGGGTCGTCAAGGAAAAATATCACAAGGAAGGGTCTTCAGAGCAGCTTAAACCAGAGAACCACTACTGAAATCATCAGCAATCCCCTGAAGGTTGTGGTCACCATCTTAAACCCGTCCCTGAACCAAGTCACCTCTTCCGCGAGAAGGAAACCACTGGCAGTTGGCTCATGGCTCCAAGTCCAGTAACGGGCGGGTGCTTTTCTTTCTGGGGCTAAGGATCCATATTAGAGCTGGTGGGACATTTGGGAGTCAATCCTCTGCCCCTTTGGAAGTCTCAGTGACTTAAAAATGAAAAGCTTAGCGGGTAAATGCCCTGTGGGGAGAGGTGGAGAGGGTAACACCAAGCAGGACGCTTTGGACATTCATCCAAAGCCGGAAGAGGCAAATCTATTTGATCAAATGAAATCAGATCAGAATGTTTTGCTTCTCCTGAAGTGAATTTAACGGGATTTTCCATTGGTTTCTTCTGCCGTTGCTCCCAACAAACCATAGCCACCACCTCCATGCCAAAAGTGGAAATCCTGCCCAGGTGCCTTCACTCCTACAAGGTTGAGGATGAGGCAATGAGGCTTATTAAGTGCTCCTGGGAAGCGGCTGGATTTCAGCAAGTCAGGATGCTCTGTGAGGATGCTCACGCCCTTGTGCTGGGCTGTGTGAGCGGTTATAAGAGTCTCAGGTGGCATTTCTGGCTTTTCCCCTGTTGCTCCTGCTGGGAAGAAAGGTCCCCAAGGAAGGGTGGGTGCCTGGTTACTTATTCCAGCTGGTGCTCCTAAAATCTGGGATAATAATTGCTCTCTGAAGGCTTTTCTTGTGATGCTGAGATGATGGTCCCAAGTGGCCACCAAGATCTGACCTGTCTTGGAGTCAAGCTGGGGTTGAAGAGATTTTGGTTGCCCTCTCCATCAGGCTGTGCTCTAGGCTTCAGTTCTCTGCCCATGGCTCCTCTGGGCACGAGGGAGGGGTCGCTGCTACTCTGGAGAAGGCTGAAAGGTGCTTTTTATATTTGGGAAGCAACAAATGTTAACATTGCTCAGGTGTCTTTGTCCTCCTGGGTGCAAGTGAGACCCGCGCTTCTGAATTTTGGTGCTCCTGAGGTCCCCTCCCCCTAGGAGATGTTTTCAAAATGACCCCTCGAGGTTGTCCTGCTTGGCCTGTAGTTTTTGTCATCAAGAACAACATTTTCTGACCAGCTCTACACTGATAAAAAGACATTTCTGGGCATAGCTGGTTTTTGTGTGAGCTCGCACCTACCGGCAAACCCCTGGTTAACTCCAGCGCCAAGAAACTGTGGGTTGAACAAGTGTATATTTCCTAATTTTGGAGGGTGCTTTAAACACCTTCTCTGCACTAAATCCATGTCACGGCAGTAGAATAAAATCAAACCGCTGTTGTCGTCCGCTGGGACACTCAGACACTGTCCATGTGTTTGGTTGCCCTAAACACCTTCAGTTGCTTCCACTGGCTTGTGGCCTTGGTTGTTGTGGATGACAAGGTGGCCATGAGCCAGCAGGGTGCCCTGGTGGCCAAGAAGGCCAACGGCATCCTGGGTGCATCAAGAGGAGCATGGCCAGCAGGGCCAGGGAGGTTCTCCTCCCCCTCTTGTCTGCCCTGGAGAGACCCAACGTGGAGCTCTGTGTCCAGTTCTGGGCTCCCCAGTTCAAGAAGGATGAGAAACTCCTGGGGAGAGTCCAGAGGAGGGCAACAAGGATGATGGGAGGACTGGAGCATCTCCCCTAGGAGGAGAGGCTGAGGGAGCTGGGCTTGTTCAGCCTGGAGAAGAGAAGGCTGAGAGGGGATCTCATCAACACCTACAAATATCTCAAGGGTGGGGATCACCAGGATGGAGACAGACTCTTTCCAGTAGTGCCCAGCGCCAGGACAACAGGCAATGGGCACCAACTGGAGCAGAAGAGGTTCCAGTGGAACGGGAGGAAGAACTTGTTGACTGTGAGGGTGCCCAAGCCCTGGCCCAGGCTGCCCAGGGGGCCTGTGGAGTCTCCTTCTCTGGAGATCTTCAACCCCCGCCTGGCCGCTGTCCTGTGCCCCCTGCTCTGGGTGAGCCTGCTTGAGCAGGGGGGTGGGACTGAGTGAGTTCCTGAGGTCCCTTCCAACCCCTGCCATGCTGGAATTCTGGGATTGTGAAGATGTATGGTCCATCCAAGGCCAACCTTAGACTTGTGCAAAGGGTGACCTCAAAACCCAAACAGCCCGGAAGTGGAATGAATCCATAAGAAAACATCTTCATGATGTTAAATTGGTGAAGAGGTGGGGGGTTTCCCCCTCCCCCCCCAGGTTTCACAGGTCTATCTTCCTGTGCACCCTTGAAGGTTTTCTCTCTGCACAGCTGAGGCCTGAGCTCTGTCCCAAATAACAGAAACCTGGCCAGTGGCTACTGGAGATGAAGCACAACCCATCTTCTATGAGATGTATTAATGCAGGATGAGGGGAATTTAAGGCTGGTAGTCATCAAAAGAGCTGGAGGTGACTGGTGTAGGCATGAGCATCTCCATTTTCAGCTGGTGGGTTGTTTCCTACCCTGAGAGTCTACTCTTTGGGGGGGGGGTGTGTGTTAATGAATTTGGGCTTTAAATCCACATTATTTAAAGCTGCAGCAACTCTTGTAAAAAGTCAAGCCATGAAAAGGGCGAGCAAAACGCCTGAGCTTTCCAAGCACCTGCTGTTGCTGAAGCTACGCCGCTGTGGAAATTGTATAAATAAACAAAAAACCCAAGAAGAAGAAAGGCATTAGCAGGAGACCTGGTATTTCTGACGTCATGACTTGGTGTTTGTCTCGTTTGGATGTGAGAAATGCTATTGGTGGTCAATGGTGGTCAATCCAGTTGGGGTCTGGCACAAGCAGCGTCCCCAGGGCTCAGTGCTGGGGCCTGGCTTGTTTAACATCTTCATCAACGACCTGGGTGAGGAGATCGAGGGCACCCTCAGCCAGTTTGCAGGTGACACCAAGCTGTCAATGCTGCCCGGGAGGGAATTTAACTGTGTGTGCCAGGAGCTCAGTCTACTTCATTTAATCGATTAAAAGAAGGTTAGCCATTCGCCTTCCGCATTCAGTGGGGGGCAGGAGCACTTGGTTTTGGGGTAGGTTTGGTTTTTTGTTTCTCAAACCCCGCTTGCAGGTGACACCAAACTGGGCAGGAGTGTGGATCCGCTGGGGGGGGCAGGGGGGCTCTGCAGAGGGACCTGGCCAGGCCGGATCCATGGGCCCAGGCCAATTGGGGGAGGGTCAACAAGGCCAAGGGCCGGGTCCTGCCCTGGGGTCACCACAACCCCA